GAGAGAGAGAGAGAGAGAGAGAGAGAGAGAGAGAACAAAATCAAATGAATCCACCGCTAGAACATGGAAATATATGCGCACATGCGCGCAGCACACCAGACGTGCGCAGCGCACTGCGCACCCAAATGCGCGGCGCGCACCGGTGCGCGCACACCCTGGGTCCGCGCACAGCGCACTGCGTAACGCATCATGCAGCGCACAGTGCTGGTGCGCCGCAAGTATGTTCCAATCCATTTACAATTTATATAACTTTGACATGTTTCTTTTGCCATTTTCTGAATTATTTGATTGTTTTGTGGATTAGTATTTATGACCATTTGAACGAATGATATACTCAATGAAATTACAAGCTCTTCGTAAATAAAGAAAGTGTTCTTTCTAAATCAATAATAGCGATTTCATTTAGTGATCCATACAGATATGGCTGAAAGTCTGAAGTAGGTGTACGATTACCAAAATGTGCCTTTGTACTTAGTAATCTTTGAATTAACTTTTCTGAATTGAACATAGTTTGATTTTGTTTTTGGTTAGGTAGCTCAGTTGGTTAGTGCAAATTGTGGATGATGAGGCCATGGTGACACTGGAAGGAGCACTTGGGGGGATGCATGTAGATAGGGTCCATCTGGAAGTCCCTGAGGAAGACACGTGGACATGGATTTTTTTGGCTTAATTCCCGGAGAACATTCTAAGCCTCTACCATCCTCATCTGGGTCTGGGACAGTCTTTTGGGCGTGAGGATGCTTGTGCTTCTGGTCAGTGATTTATGCAGCTGGTAGCTCGTCAACGTCCAAGAAAAAACTATGAACTGGATAAGAGAATACAAAGCTATCATCGGGTTCAAGTTGTTATGTTATGCCGAGTTTGGAATATATAGCAGGTGTCAGGTTATCACTGTTCAGTTAACGTCTTTACAATTCCGTGCTTTGCATCCTCTTGTATGAAGGAGCTAATCCTTCTGCAGGCTCATTTGTGGCATGGAAGTTTTCTTGTTCTTAAAAAGAACTCAATGTATTACCATGGAGTCCCATTAATATCTTCAGTCTTCCTTGTTTTTTTCTTCCTGGATTTTTTATGGTGAGGTGGGCTGATTCTTCTCACCCTCTTGCCCATTAATTTAACGGTTCTAACTCTTTAACGTTTCATACAAAATCATGTGTTTTCTTTTTTGAAGTTCGTTCTGAAGTTATGAACTCTTCTGTGTCAATGTTTTTTCCATGGGTACCCAGATTAAAGACTTGTCGAAGAAGTTGGAGGAGGAAGAGGTGTTGCATCAAAATGGCAGGAATGAGATAGAGAACCTGAAGGTAATACTTTTTTTTTTGTTTTTGAGAAAATTGTTCCAGTTGCTTCTGAGGCCATGGCTGTGTTAACAATTCATGCAGCACCCTATTAAATTCTTAGTTGCTCGATTCTCTGATATGTGTGTGCTTATCTCTGCTAGTTTATTGCCAGTCCTTTCTCTTCTGCGTGGCTCAACTTTTGTCAACAGCCTAACTTGGGGTGTGCATTAACTCCTCTTCGTGTTTATATAAATTCAAACCCAAGTATTGCTAATGATATCCTCAAGATTCTTAAGCACGATTTACCTCCGAGCTTCATTTTACTCTATTTTTTTTCCCAGCCCAGTCACAGCCATATGTGCCACGTTTGCACCATTATGTTTTGAAACTTGAAAGGCAATAAATGTTTTCTTTTGTAATTCTTCCAATATTTTTTGAATTTTTTTCCTTAAACAGCGGTCGGTGTGTATGATACATCTATGATTTTGTACGTTGAAGGAGACGAGTGAAAAACCGCGAAAGTGGGAGAGCACTCGAAATTTTGTGGCCCTCTGTTACATGCACAGATATGTGATGTTCGTAATAACCGAGGAACTGCAGTGTGATAAAAAGGACTGAAATGGACAATGCGGTGAGAGTAGAATCTCGACAGACAATGTGCATTCTCATACATACAAAAGTGCTGAATAGCGCAGGGAAGACTTAGATACAAAGACTGACCTGACAAGGACTGACCTCACACACGTTGTACAAGTAGCGAAGCAGAATGCTAGAATACCAATCACGAGCCCAATCAATGTTTGAACTCAGACTAAACATGCATCGTATCCCTCACCAGGTGTGAAGGAGCCTGGCGCTGCACACAGGG